CAATTTCCTCCACAAGAGAAGAGAGAAGCCCAACTGCTGAGCTTCATTTGGTTCTCACCTACTGAAACGCTTGTCTTCCATCCTTCTTTCTCTTTGAGTTTTTCCACCTGGCTCACACCTCTAATCTGAGCACTTTGGGAGGCTAAGGCAGGATTGCTCAAGCCTAGAAGGTCAAAACCAGTCTGAGCAACATAGCAAGATCCCTTTTCTACAACAAATAGACAAATTAGCAGGACATGGTGGCGCATGCCTGCAGTTCCAGCCGCTCCAGAGGCTGAGGCAGGCAGATTGTGGTGAGCCCAGGAGTTTGAGGTTGTAGGAAGCTATCATGATGCCACTGCACTCCAGCCTGGGGACAAAGCTTGTCTCAAAAAAAGAAAAAGAATAAGAAAGAGACAGGCCAGGCATGGTGGCTCACAACTGTAATCCTAGCACTCCGGGAGGCTGAAGCCAGTGAATCTTCTGAGCTCAGGAGTTCAAGACCAACCTGGGCAAGAGCAACACCCTGTCTCTAAAAAATATCCGGGAGTTGTGGTGGGTGCCTGTAGTCCCAGCTACTTGGGAGGCTGAGGCAAGAGGATCACTTGTGCCCAAGAGTTTGACACCATGGCATTCTATCCCAGGGCACAGAGTGAGACTCTGTCTCAAAAAAAAGAAAAAGAAAAGAAAGAAAAACAACTGGAGAAAGTCTAGCAGATGAAGAAAAATCTTTTTCCATTCAGTTTCTGCCTTTACCAGAAGTTACATGACTTGGATCCATCCTTCCTTCCTTCCTTCCTTCCTTCCTTCCTTCTCTTCTTTGTCCTTCTGTCTATAGATGGAAATGTGGAGGACGAGGGGGAAATAAGAATAGAAAAAGAAGGGGAAACAGCAAAGCTTATCAGTGTTTCCAATTAAAAGTGTATAGTCCCTATGGCTGTGAGGACACCATTGGCTCAAAAGCTTTAGACCTTTAAGAAATGAAGATTGAGACCAGGCATGGTGGCTGATGCCTATAATCCTAGCACTGTGGGAGGTTAAGCTGGGAGAATTGCCCGAGCTCAGGAGGTGGAGACCAGCCTGAGCAAGAGCAAGACCCTGTCTCTACTAAAAATAGAAAAACGAGCTGGGCATGGTGGAGGGCACCTATAGTCCCATCTACTTGGAGGCTGAGGCAGGAGGATCACTTGAACCCAGGAATCTGAGATTGCTGTGACCTAGGCAAGGCCACAGCACTGTAGCAACAGAGTGATACTCTGCCTCAAAAAAAAAGGGGGGGGGTGGCTTCTGTGGCTCAGTGAGCAGGGTGCTGGCCCCATATACTGAGGGTAGCAGGTTCAAACCTGGCCCCAGCCAAACTGCAACAACAAAAAAATAGCTGGATGTTGTGGCCGGCTACTTGGGAGGCTGAGGCAAGGGAATCACCTAAGCCCGGGAGTTGGAGGTTGCTGTGAGCTGTGTGATGCCATGGCACTCTACCGTGGGCCATAAGTGAGACTCTGTCTGTACAAAAAAAAAAAAGAGAGAGAGAGAGAAAGAAAGGAGAGAGATGAAGAATGAATTAAAAGATACTGTCTATTCTTGCTAGAGCCCTAGGTCAAGGGTAAGCCTAGGAGTAATAAATAATAGTTAAGAATAGTTAAGAATTAGCCATGGGTGGCGCCTGTGGCTCAACGGAGTAGGATGCCAGCCCCATATGCCAGAAGTGGTCGGTTCAAACCCAGCCCTGGACAAAAACTGCAAAAGAAAAAAGAATTAGTGACACCTGGCTATTTATATTAGACTAATTCTTACTCTTATTGCTATGTCTTAATGTATTATTATCAAAAGCCTTAACAGTTTGCTAGTATTCACTGGTCATTTAAAAGAGCAAGATTTCTCCATTCACTCACCACTCGCTTCACTATCTAATCTATTAAGCTTTTGAGCCAGCAGCCAGTTGAAAAACATTTATTGCTTATTTAATATTTGCCACGCCCAGTCCTAGGCCTAAGAGTACAGTAGGACAGTAGGGTGGTGTCATCATGGCAGGCAGGGGCTCTTCCCTAATGTATTTTATAGTCTCGGGAGGGAGACAAATATTCAATGACAAATTACATATTTCTACAATAGTTCTTTAGATAACTGCTAAAAAGAACAAATCCAGCCATGCATAGTCCTGTGTGAGCAGAATATGAGAAGGATGAGCATATTCTCATGTGTGGCTCAGAGGAGTAAGGCGCTGGCCTCATATACTGGAGGTGGTGGGTTCAAACCCAGGCCCGGCCAAAAACTGCAAAAAAAAAAAAAAAAAAGCGAAGGTATCATGCCTTCAGAACTCGAGTCTCAAAACCCCAAAGCACGAACACCAGGAGTTAGAATCCCACTCATGTGCTTTCCAGATTCAGCAAAGTGATTTATTAATTATTATTATTATTATTTTTGAGACAGAGCCTCAAGTGCTGTACCATCACAGCTCACAGCAACCTCCAACTCCTGGGCTCAAGCGATTCTCCTGCCTCTGCCTCCCAAGTAGCTGGGACCACAGGTGCCCACCATAACGCCTGGCTATTTTTTGGTTATAGCCGTCATCGTTGTTTGGCAGGCCTGGGCTGGATTCGAACCCGCCAGCTCAGGCGTATGTGGCTGGTGCCTTAGCCGCTTGAGCCACAGGCACCAATCCTATTTATTATTTTTTTGAGACAGAATCTCACTCCGTTTCCCTGAGTAGAGTGCCATGGTTCACAACAACCTCAAACTCCTAGGCTCAAGAGATCCTCTTGCCTCAGCATCCCTAGTAGCTGGGACTACAGGAGCTTGCCATGACACCTGACAGATTTTTTTTTTTTCCTATATTTTGCTGAGACAGAGTCTCACTCTTGCTCTTGAGGCTGGTCTCAAACTCCTGAGCTCAAGCGATTCACCCTCCTTGGCCTCCCAGAGTGCCTGCATTCAGCAAGTTAAAATTAAATTTATTTATTTTATTTATTTTTTGAGACAGAGTCTCACTTTGTTGCCCTTGGCAGAGTGCTATGGCTGTCATAGCTCACAGCAACCTCAGACTCTTGGGCTCAAGTGATTTTCTTGCCTCACAGCCTCCCTAGTAGCTGGGACTATAGGCACCTACCAGAACTCAACTCCTGAGCTCACATAATCCACCTGCTTCGGCCTCCCAGAGTGCTAGGATTACAGGTGTGAGCCACCCTGCCCAGCATTATTTCTTTATTTTAAAATGCATTTTAGTGCCAATTATGTTCAAGGCACAAGATAGACTAAAATGCATTTTAGTGCCAATTATGTGCAAGGCACAAGATATGTGGTCCTGCCTCAGCAAGGCCATGTTCAAGGTGGGGAGACAAAGCTACAGGACTACCTATGACAGGTCTGTCATTAGCAGACGATCACTGAGCCCTGGTTATGGCTGAGCACCTACATGTACGTCTCAGAAGTTAACCTCACAGCGGCCCGGTCAGGTAGGTCTCTCATTAGCCCTGTTTCTCCTGTGGGAAATGGAGTCACAGGTTAGTTGAACCAACTTGCTGAGGGTCACACAGCTAGTAAGGTGAGGGAAAGGGATTTGAATCCAGACGGTGAGGCCAGGCAACTAGAGAACCATGAGCTGCCAATGAGACTGTAAACTGAGTTGGTCAGGAATCTGGAAACATTATACATGGAAGCAGTGAGATTAGCCAGAATTCAGAACATAAATCCCCAGGAATCCAAGGGGGGTCCTAAGTAAAAAGAAAATTCCAGGCTGGGAATAGTGGCTCAAACCTATAACCCTAACACTTTGGGAGGCTGAGGTGGGAGGATCACCTGAGGCCAGGAGTTCAAGACCAGCCCGGGCAACACAGTGAGAGCCCATCTCTTCAAGTTTTGCTTTTTTTTTTAATTAGCCAGCAGTGGTTCATGCCTGTAATCCTAGCACTCTGGGAAGCCAAGGTGGGTGGATCAGCTGAGCTCAGGAGTTTGAGACCAGCCTGAGCAAGGAGCGAGACCCTGTCTCTACTAACAATAGAAAAACTAGCCCGGCATGCTGACACACACCTATAGTCCCAGCTACTTGGGAGGCTGAGGCAAGAGAATCATGTAAGGTAAGCCCAAGAGTTTGAGGTTGCTGTGAGTTATGACAGCACAGCACTCAACACCAGAGTGATTGAGTGAGGCTCTGTTTAAAATAATAATAATAATAATTTTTTTAAAATAAAAAAATAAGAATTATCCAGGTGTGGTGATGTGTGCCTGTAGTCCCAGCTACTTGGGAGGCTGAGGCAGAAGGGTTATTGGAACCCAGGAGTTCAAGGTTACACTGAGCTATGATTGCACCATTGAACTCCAGCCTGGGCCACAGAGCCTCTAAAAATAAAGAAAAAGTAAAGAAAACTCCTTCCATTCCCTAGTACTGGAGTTCATCGTATTCTAATTCCTTATTTTTCAGTTAAGCCACCCATTGCACCTGCTCTGAGAACTCACAAGCCCCAGAGATTATTTAACAAACCTCAGGCCCCAGAAAGGAAGGAGGCTCATGGGGTAGCTGGGCATGTGCCAGGCCTGTTTCCAGCGTCACAGGAACAGAACAGCCACCAAGCACGTGTGGCCCTGGGGATTGGGCCTGGGAAAAGGCGAGAACTATAGGAGTCCCTGGGGAAAAGGGTGCAGAGGTGACAAGCCTGGGTTGGAACCCTGGAGGCGCTTGGCTGTGTGGTGTCAGGCAGTCACTGCATATCCCTGGGCCTTGGTTTCTTCCTCCCGCTGTTCCTGAGGCTTCTCCATGTGATGTTTCCGCTTCCTGACCTGAGGATGAGGACATGCAGGTGAGGTGAATACCTTGTCCAGTTTACATAGTGGACAAGTGAGAAGCCTGGACACAACCGAGTTTGTCCCACTGATCGTGGTCTTTGCCACACTCAAAGGCCCACC